ACCATTTAATAAGGCACAAACCCATCATAATCTGTATGCCCGAATCCACGACTTCCAGTCATTATTTCAGCAATAAAATCTTTTATATTTTGAATCATAAACATATACAAAGTTTCAGATTGGCTGGCTCCAAAAGTTCCATGACAACTGGCTCGTAAGGATCAGTATACAAATATGAATGCATCGACCGCTTGATTCTATAAAAAAATTAATAAAATCAGTTCGAACTCTATGTATCAATTTGAGAAATAAAGAATACTTAACTGCTAAATTATAATTAAGATAAAAGCTTCAAGAATAAACATAAAAAACAGAATAGTATTGCAAGTACAAAATTTTTTGAGAGTTTTTATCACAACTTTAAAATGCCATTTATAAATTTCTTGAAGAAGTTTTTCCTTATACATTTTCGCGATTTCTAATTTTTAACTCTTTAAAAGTTTTTAGTTTTTATAATTTTTGTAGTTCTAAATTATAGCTATTTGCTGTATATATACGTATTCATTTCGCATTCAATTGCATAACAGATCAGTATTATATATGATATAATTTATATTATAACCTTATCAAAGGTACTGTATATTATACATGACTCGGTTTTAATGTTCTGTAAAATAGGTAATATGAATAACTACGGCAAAATGAATTAATTGTCTCTTTATTTGAACAAGCGCATTTATCATTGAACAAAGCCTTTTGCAATAGTGCAAATTTTCTTTAGGCTGAAAAATTCTTTAATTAAAAAATTATGATATCTGATATATTTTAACGCGTATAATTGCATAACAGATCTTCGGAGTTTCATTTTAATGTTTTGTAAAATAGGTAATACGAATAGCCACGGCAAAAATGGCATAAATTAAAACAAAAATGAATTAATTATCCTTATTTGAACAAGTTCATTTATAAAAAAACTTATTAAAAGGAACACGTAAAATCTAGTTCTCATCAATTTTGACTGTTAAACTACAAAATGTCAAGAAACATTTTAAAGCTTTTAGCACTTTTGCTAAGAATCACCTATACAACCACCATTATCTTTTTTTCTTTAATTTTTCTGACCATAATTTCTTTAATTTCTTTAATCTTTGCTTCTTTGATTTTTATATCTTTGATTTTACTATTGAAAAATAATAATTTGATTCCACCTTACTTGTTGTTTCCCAGTCTTGTTGTCAGATTTTCTATATTATTTAAGAAAACTATCCACGAATCTAAATCTATTCACTCCGATAATAGAAAAATAAACAAACGCAAACCATTTATCGATGAAGAATCTTATCTGGTTAATAAAGACACAATGCACTTTAATTCTTTCAACCAAAATGATAATTCTGCGAGCAGCAAAAAAATTGTAGAATAGTTATCGAAACAAACTTTAGTACCATCACTTCAGCTCTTTTTCGCTGAGAAAATCGTTGCTTCCTTTTTTAATGGA